ATGAATGACAGATTTAAAAGGCATTCTGTTTTGCTTTCCCATAATACATTCTTTACAAAATTCAAGCTATTCAATTTTATCAGTTATAGAACACCCTGTTTTCTTGAGTATTTGCAGCCCTTTATCATTTATGTATCCCAACCTCTTACGTCATATTGAAGACTTATCGGAACGTAAATCTACTGCAGCAAAGCTTTTACCGGCTAATGGTTTAGCCTGCACACTGTAAATTCCATTCTCCTTGAAAGTAAAAATTACTTCCTTATCATTCAGAAAAAAATTAGTGAAACCTTTTTGGATTCTAATATCATATTCAATATCTAACTCCCCTAGAGATTAAATTTCTCTGCAAGTCAGGGAAATACCTAGTCTCAGTTAACTCCATACTATGATTGTTTTCAAGCAAAAGGTTATGTTTTCCATCCCCATTATGTGATAGCTCATGTCATTTCCCATTTGAACCTATCCACCATTTTCGTCAATAAATTGAGTGAACCATTTTTTGTGGGACACATGTGGAAGGTGTAGCTGGAATCAAAAACCTATTCATTTCAATTCATTCTGGCTACAGTCACAATGACAACACCTTGTATTTCAAAGTCATTGTTACAAGCTATGGCAACTGATCCTTTAGAATTTTAATTTTCTTTCATGTTAGCAAATTTTTTGAAACTGTCCTTTATAAAATGATCAGTCTTCCACGAATAATAACATTTCTTAACTTTGCCTTTGGACTTTCCTGTTCTTGTTCTTATCTTTGTTCTTTTCATTTTGCCCTTTCTTTATGAGTTGTAATCACTAAATTATTACCCTTATTATTATTCATCCTTTCATTCACATTCAGCCCTTCACGACTTTTAGTATCTTTAAAATCTACTTTTAATTCAAGCTCTCTAATCCTTAAAGCTAAAGTTATGGTATCTACAGAGACATCTGCTTTCTGATACTCTTTTAAGGTATTTCTAATAACTGTGTACTTATCTCCTAAGAAATTCAATAGAGCTACTACTTGCTGATCATCAAATAACTTCTCACAA